CGGATTTCCCCATATCGGTTCAGCCAACCCGATATGGGGACTGGTGTTTTTCCATATCGGGTATCGGCCACACCATACAGGCCAATACCCGATATGATATCGCTTCATGTCGCCCTTTGTACCCCATTCCAATGAATCCTGCGTAGCCCTGCGTTGGCTCACGCAGTCTCCTGTCACATCGACACTTCCGATCACACCACGACACCACCATTCCGATAATCCGTCGACTTTAGTGGCGATCTCTTTAGACTTAGCCACTGTCACGATGCCCCTCCGATGGCTCGATAACGAGATCCTACTCACCTGTCAACCCCAATCTTATCCACAGATTCGAATCAAACGGTGGCTCAGCCTCCACTTTCAAAAGGTCAGCATTTTCGTTATACTACTCTTCCTTCCTCGCATCCCCACTATTCCCCAATTCAACGCGGCTAAAGATCATTGACGTGTGTTGAGTTAAATCAGAAACACACCATGGCATCCACGCATGAGTCCGAGTCCACCCAATTACAACCATCTCAGGCTCTTTTGAACGATGATTCTGTTCCGAATCCCATTCCCAGTACCCAGAAACGCAAACGAGGACCTTCCAATACAACCGGCACCCAGAAAAAACGCAAGGATGTATGTTATCTTACTGTCCAAGTCATTTCATCAACCGCTTTACTAACTTTATTTATTTGATTTATTGCTGTATAAAACCAGAAATCGAATTACATTCCCGAAGGTCTGGATGTTGACCGAGACTCTGATATCGAGATAACCGGAGAGACTCAGCCTGCACCTAAAGCTGAGGTGCGCACTGAACGTGTCCGTGAACTTCTCAAGTACTATGAAGATCCAGTCGAATGCCCAGATGAAGTAAGTGGCACTGGCTTCTATTTGTTCCCTCCTTTAACTTTCTTTCACAAACTCATCTACATTCTCGGTATTTGGATATTTTGATTCAATCAAGATCGGCAGCGGTATTTTCCGGTATTACAAGTGCCGGTTTTGTAAAAAATCTTTTTCAAAACCCCCGAATACTTATCAGACTCTATACGACCATCGCAATGGGGCCGAAACTCGACCAGTTTGCCAGAAACGACACGTTGCCATCAAGCAAGGATTTGACCTCAATAAATCTTGGCCTGAGCAACAGAAGGCTAAAAAGGAACAAAATAACAACTTAGATCGATTTGTTGTCAAGCAACCTTTTGGAATCAAAAACCTCAATCTCAAGCTGGTCATTTGGGTTCTTCGTCACGCGCTCCCGTGGGCAAGATTTGAAGACTCTATTCTTTGTGCAGCCTTTTGGTTTTCAAACCCGCTGGCAACTCTTTACTCGGCAACATGGGCAGCCCAAGCAGCCCAGCGCTTATACATAGGACTCCAAAAAAATGTCATAAGTAGCATCTTGGTACGTTTTTTTCTGGTAACGTTTAATTTCCTTTTCACTTTGAATTAATCTCATTAATCCATACCACACAGGAAAATGACAGTGCCTTCTGTCTAATGCACGATGGGTGGACAACAAAGGGACGACGGCATGCTTTTATTGGGGCCAGTGTTTTGTTTATTGATAGTAACTGGAGATACCAGGTCCGACACCTCACCCTCAAGCTTGTGACATGGAATCACTACGGGGTTCTACTGGCTCGTCCCCTGGCTCGATTCCTTGTTCGACACGGCCTACACAAGAAAATAAGTGTATTTAATTCCTTTTTCTTTGATAATCACCTCGAATATTGAGCCTGACATGAGAATGTTGTTTTATCCACATGCTTGCGCAGACAACGGATTCAGGCGCGAACAACAACACAATGGCGACAGAAATGTCAAAGATCTTCTCTGAAGGTGAGGATCCGGTGTTCTGGGATGCAAGGGTCAACCATGTGCGCTGTTACGCGCACAAGCTGGCTCTTGTGGTCAAAGCCGGTTTGCGAAGTATCAAAATTGATCCAGGACATACAAAGCCAACTACGACTCCTGGCCGTGAACTTCCTACACCCTTGCTTGGACTTGACGACTCATCCAACTTTCCTGACGACCCAAACAACACTGAACCGGTTGATTGTCTTGAAGATGGAGAAGATATTGGCGGGGATCATGATGGTGATACTGACTCTGAGGTCGAGGATGAAGATGATTCTCAATTGCAGACTCACTTGGCCAGTAGGTGGAAAACTGATGTAGTGGTACAGGCAGTCCAAAAGGTCAGTTTCTATCATGCACAACCGAGATCATAGTCACATACTGAATGATGATTTTGTTTCCAGGTGGATCTTTTTGCACGCCGGGTCTGTTCGAGTGCTGCCCTGCGAGCACTCTTCAAAGCACGAAGAGAAGGACAGGGGTCGATCACGGCGGGTTACAGAATACGTTGGAATGCGGCGGTCCAGTCTTGCCAAAAGGTTTGTGAAGCCCAAGAGGTATGTCTGGACATATCGATCATCCTATAGATCATATCATATCCCTTCTCACCATGTGTTGTTTATGTTTTCAGACAGTGACCCAGATGCTAGGAAGTGCCGATAATCATCTTTTTGATGAGATGTGTATAACTCAGAGCGAATGGGCTGCTGTGAGGGCCTCAAATGGTGTCTTAGAGGTATGCAGCACTTGCACTTTGTTCTTCTAACCATCATTAACAGTACTGATATATTTCAAATTTGTAGATATTCCTCTCTTCGACCCTCATGATGGAAGGGGATAGTCCAACAGGAGCGCGTGTCTTGTCCGAGTATCGTCGAATGGAGAAAGCTTTAGAGAAAATGGAGGCTGAGACTAAATACAAAAGCTTACATAAGATGATCGGGGTAATGCGTGTGAAACTCGCGGTGTATCATAATGAAGCGCTCAGCTGTGACGCTCTTGTCATGGCTACAGTTTTAAATCCAAGCAAGCGTATGAAGTTCTTTGAAAACTACTATCCTGCGGAGGTACCTCGAATTCGAACGATGTTGGATCAAGCTTTTCAAAGGAAAGTGGTATCATCAGAGGCAAACATCGAGATCACTTCAGCAACAGCAACATCACAAAATACAATCGAAACTACTCACGATCAAGACAACGACAATCTCTTTGGACCTTCAGAAGTGTCTGCATCAATCAATCGATCAGACGAATTAGAGCTCTATCTTGGCACAAAATATCCTTATAAGGACGGGTGTATCTTAAAGTGGTGGGAGGTGAGTGTCTGATTTTTCTCCGTTTTACTCTCTCTTCATGTCACTTATGTCTTATGTGTGGTTGATTTGGGGCAATAGGAGAACTCAAAATGGTTCCCATTAGTGGCAGCGCTTGCGAAGGATTATCTCGCATGCTCGGGTACCACATGTCCAGTCGAAAGGACTTTTTCCTCAGCAGCCGATGTCTGCCAGCCTGATCGTGGTGGCCTCAACTCAAGCACGATGGAGCGCGCTGTAGGCTGTAGAGAGTGGATCAAAGCGGGTGTGGCTACACCAGCAGAGTTTTCAGAAGCATCTGAATTAATTGAAAAATATTTAGTAAGGCAACATAGTAATAAAACAAAATGATCTCGCTCTTTGTATTTGTAAATACAAATTATATTACAGTTTGATTATGTGAACTGCAAAAAAAATACTGTTCGCGATCCCAACCAACTTTTACCGCCATTTCGTATTGGCTCGTATCGCTTCAGCAATACGATATGAGCCTCCCCAAAAAAAAATTTTTCATGTCGTATCGGGAGTCGGTTCATATATATCGGTGTCCCGATGCGACATGAAAAAGCCCTGATATATCGTATGGTATCGGATAGGTTCGGGCGTTGCTCACAACCATCCTATTTGGTTCAAACAAGAAATCTAAAGTTTATGATTAGGGGGGCTCAAGTCAAAATATTTTACTACTTTTATGGTAAAAAACTTTTCCCAAATTTTTTTGAGCAGCAAATTTATGCAAATTTGCGTAAATCTGCTGGTCAGAAGGAGATCCAAAAGAAATTTTTACGGCCCTTTTTTACGAATTGGGAAAAGTTTTTACAGCACGGTACCGTAAAAAACTTTCCCCAATTTTTTGAGAAAAGGTCGCAAATTTTTTGACTTGAGCCCCCTTATTACTTTTTGTTTATGAATTGCAACCCTAAAACCACTACATCCTCCAAAGAAAAACTGCCACATCAACAATCACCACAAAGGAAAAAAATTGAAAAAAAGAATCAGAAACCATTAAACAAAAAAATATAGAAAATCTAAAAGAAGAAAAACAAAAACAGAAAAGGTGGAAAAAAAAACATGTGTGAATCCAATCCTCCTTCCACAACACAAAAATAAAATCATGAATTTTCCTTAATTATTAAATTGATTCCTGAAAGATTTAATTTTCAACTTGTAAATAGTTTTTGATTTTTTTTTTCCCCACTGTTCAAAATTCATGCAAAACAGAAAAGTAAAAAAGAATTCAAAACAATATACGAAAAAAAAATCAAAGCCATTCCAAGAAAACAATAATAATATTTCATGAGAAAAAAAAAGAAATCAAATTAAATTAAGATTAAAAGTATAAAAAGAAAAAGAAAAAAGAAAGAAGAAACCAGGAAAGAAAGAGTGTTGATAAAAAAGAAGAAGTAAAAAAAAGCAAAAAAAAAAATCTTCTTAGGCGACATTGGATAAAGAAGAAGAAAAAGGACAAAACAGAACAAAGCGCCTTTGAAGAGAAAGAAAGGACAATGAAATCAGAATCAAAAAGCAAAAGCCAAAAAAAAAACAAGTACAACTAGTCATCTTAGAAGTATTCACGTAACAAAGAACAATGCGGTTTGTTTTTGGGAGTTGGAAAAATTTCAAGAACACAAACATATCCCCCTCCTCTCTATTGTCATGTACATCACACCACCACTTGTGCGACTGGCGCAGGCGGGTTGTTAAGCGCCATGTTGCTCAAGTTGACATTCACATTGAATTGGGCATTGGCACGTTCATTGCTAACCAATTTTTCGACTATTTCAACACAAGAGCACATCAGTTATGGCCAACAGGAGATAAACAAGAACAAGATCACTTACTTGCAACCAAATACTTGCCATAGGAGAGGCTGTACTTTTTCATGTGGTTCAATTGACTGGCCACCTCCTCAAACAACAAGGCACGTTGAGGCTCCTTGGAAGCTTGCAAGAACTTTTGTAGCGGGAAATTCGCAAACGCATCCTTCAACATCACACCAACAGTCGAGGTACCATCAGCACGAGGCGCAAGGATTTCTTCAATCATTTGGTGCATCTCTTCCTCGGTAGACTTGAGAATAGCTTTTTCAACCACGTTACTCTGGAATTGAATTTCAGATCAGTGGAAATGTCAAAATGAGAGTAAGAGGTTAAAGCGATATACTAACAGCAAACTTGTGCTTTGACATCAACAGGACTTGGCCCTTGACTTTAGCCATCATGGCCGCTGCGTCCTCTTTCTTGCCATCGGTGATGATCCATTGGGCAACGTAGTTACCGTATTGATCGGTCATCTAGAAGACAAAAATACGTTAGAACATGGTGGTGACGAAGGAGTAGAAATGAGTGTACGAGGTTGTTAGAGAATCGGTGCAATTCTTCGAGTAAACCTCGGGTCTGGTCTTCTGGCATATGCTCAAAGACACGTTGCAAGACACGACATCCATAGGGATGAGTAGCAAGAGCAAAGGCTTGACCAACAAAGGCCTGGCTGATGAATCGGTTCATCTTGGGATCAATACGTTCCAAAGAACGTTGCAAGACGTGATTGGCGTTTTGATCTTTGGCACATTGGATCACTTCACCCTCGAGCTCCTTGATGATGGCGTGTTGTTGATCAACCAGTACAAATTCCAGAGCCTAGATATCAAAATGTCAGAAATGTCCACTAGATCGTCCCATAGAGCGCAAAAATAACTAACCTTTTGAATGACTCGGCATCCATACATTTGTAAAGAGAGCTGGAGCACGTGACCACGGAGGGACTCGGCTAATTGAGTCTTTTGAGCTTGATTTCCTTGCTCAAAAAACTTTTGAACAACGTAGCTGGAGAAAAGGTAGAGTGACAACATATCAGCAATGCACACAGAATGAAATCATAGATCTTGCTTACTTGGCAAACACGTCCATGGAAAGCTGTAAGACATTTGGGTATATTTCATTAAACACAATTTCTTTTTCTTCAGTAGTAGCAGTGTCAAGCTTGGATTGTATGTGACGAGAGCCTAATTGGTCTCCAGCGAACTCCACAATGTGACCGGCCATATCCTGTAAATCGCACAAATAAAGAGTGATCAGAATCAGCAAGAGAAGATAAAAGAACTAAAGATGCACAAACCGTTAACTCCCATCGGCGATGTTTGTTGTTGCGGAACTCTTCCAAGATTGCGCTGCGGTGGACGCGATTACCATCAAAGCTACCCTTGTGAGAAACTTGACGGTTTGAATGACCCGAGCTGGGAGCCGGGATGCTGGTAGGTTGGAGACCCATGTTAGCCATCGAGGCAGGATGGGGCGTAGCATAAGCGGGGTATTGGCCCATGGCACCCATACTGTATTGACTGTAAGGGTCTAAGTTATGTCGGTTCATGCTTTGACGACGAGCCTCAGACAATAATTGTTGTTGTTGACTGAGTAGGTGACCGCCACCAGCACCGACACCGAACATAGGGTTGACACCCATTCCATCCATCGACATCATGTGAGGGTTGACATTAGGATAACCTATCTGGTGTCCGTAGCTGGGGTTGACACTCATTCCATAACCAGCATTGTGATGTCCAGCTTGAGCGGCACCGAGGCTACCTGATTGGGCGGCATAAGAGAAAGACGAGTGACGCATCTGAGGATTGCCACTGAATCCATCTTGGATTTGCCAGGCGGATTGAGTGCGTCGGAGATTGTTCAAGCCGGTAGTAGCATTAGGAATGGGCGCCACATGTGATGAACGACGAGATTGAGAATCGGTGACGATGGGTGGAGATGGACCATATCCAGAATCACGTCGGTAATCATAACCAGGTCCACCATAGGCAGCAGCAGCAGAGAGCTCGAGGGCACTAGGGGTGTCGTGGTTCGAGGCAGCAGAGTTACCGTTCGGGTTTGAAGCCCCGCTGATCGAAGACCTGAAATAATAAGGGTTCCATCCAGCTTCTTGATGGGTGGAGAGTGCACCATTGTTGTACAGAGCAGGTAAACTGGGACGATGACCGGTCATGCCGCTAGCGCGTACGCTACTAGGAGGTGCGCCCGCATTGAAAGATGCACGAGTTGCCCGAGACAATGCAGTAGGGTTCGCATCGCCGGATCCGATAGAGAGGCCGCCCATGCCGCTGACAAGGCCATCGCCAGGAAACGGAACATATGCAGGCTGCGAAGCACGTCGCAAAGCTGAATAATTAACACCTCCGTCGGCATCGGGAACGGCAAGGGTAACGCTAGCAAGGCGTTGACGGCCAATTGGAGAACTGCCAACTAAAAGAGACGGGGTGTTAGAGATGAGACTCAGAAAGGTTTCAGAATCATGGGAAACGTACTTTTCCCGGTAACGCCAGATGATCGAACAGCAGAAAACTCTGAAGCACGACGAGTGACGGCTTTAGCAGAATGAGTAGGATGGTTAGAGTGATTGGTGGTCTGATCATCGGCGTCAGTGGTCCAAGGTTCCCAACTGTTGCGCCTTCCACCTTCACGATCGCCAATGGCACCAGGCCCGGCAGTGGGTGTTCGAGGGGTCGACATATTTCCTTCGCGGGGTTGCGTAGAGGAGCTGATCGATGGCATATAGAATAAGATGAACAGGAGAAAGGTCGGAGGTTAAAAGGAAGAGATAGACAGGTTCAATAAATGTGATGTAGTTCTTTAAAAACAAGAGACAGGTACAGAGCGTTGGCTGACGAGGTGAGCAAACGATGCTTTGGAAGAATTAGATATATTTGGGTGTTCCAAGAGACGAATGGAGTGCGAAACGATGGAGGAGTGTTTGGCTTTTGTCGAGTTTGTGAAACAAGCAACTTTTTACAATCTAGGTGAGTTGTCCGTCCGTAGCGAAGGCCCAGTGAGCAGTAAATTACTGTTGGTGTGGTGAAGGTGCGACGCTTTTTTTGCAATGGTGGGTGCGCTTGTCCTCAAGGAGATTTCTATATAATTTTCGACGATCGGGCCACTTTCGGTTGCTTAAGAGAAATGAAAGAGAAAGCGACAGTTAATGATCATGACGGTATAGTTATGTACCACTACACATAAGGCAAGCAGCAGATTAAAAGAGCGCACAGTTACAGTTGAGAAAGAAGCGCGAGGTCGAAGTTGACCAGACTGGTCGGTTGATTAGACACACGAGATCGAGGGCAGATAGACACAGGGAAAAATGTACAATTAAATCAGATGAGGAGAGAATGGATTGGGTAGAAATGTAGTGACAGGGCGGAAACCAAGTGAGCGATGATGTGAAGGAATCGGTCGTAGTGGTCTGTGGAGCACTTGCACGGCCTTGTGAGTTTATCAGAGGAGTCCAATGATGAGAAAATTCAAAAAAGCTTGTTATGTAGATCCGGGCTTGGCCGTCCAATTTGGCTTGAAGAAGATATACTAAACGCACTCGATCAAAAAAGCAAAGAAAGACTGAGTCAGAGAGCTATGGAAGGAAAGACAGTAGTGGTTGAAATTAAAGACACGGAGATAATGCGAGGTGTAGAAAGGCAGATTTGGGGATGGAAATTGATTCGATAGCTGTTTATGTATTATATCTCAATCAAACAAAGCGTAAAGCGGGGGCCAAGGTGGTATGAGGTGTGAGGTGGTATGGTGTGGGGGGGGACACCGGGGGAGGACGAGGAGAAAAGTGAATCAACTCACCGTTCAGAAAAACCAATACACACAATATACAACAATAGTTGACTCGAGTTGAACTTGAACCGACCACACCACTTCACACACACACACACGCAATATCACACGCACAGGCTCAGACTCAGACTGACTTTAAGGGTGTACAAGGCAAAAGAAGAAAGGAAGATTGTTAAAGAAAGATGAGTCGATGGAAGTTGGAAGGAAGCGCGAGTCAGAGCCTTCAAGGAAAGGATGAAGAATTTAAAGGAGGAAATCGAAATTGAATACGTAAAGGGGATAGGAGACAGACAGACTTGAGTTTAGAGGAGTGAGCTTGAGCAGAGAAAGGGACCGAACCCAAGATTAGAAAACAAAGAATTTAAAATCAATCAAATCCATCAAATCAATCAGAATCAAAAAATAAGTATGTACTTTTTAAAGTTGAAAATACAAACTAAATTATTCAAACTGCAACTGTAGGCTGACTTTATTCAACTTGTGTAAAAAATGTGTGCGTACTCTGTATTGGGAGATTTCAAAGACTCAAGATTTAAGAAGTTGAAAGCAGTCTCAAGAAGCATCCATCACGACTTCTTTCATTGCAATGGTGGCTGTTGATGAAAAAAAAAATGACCATGAGGTAAATAAATACAAGGTAAAAGTGTTGAGACTTGAAGTTCATTCCGGATTCAGCTCAATGATAATCTCAATCAAATCTCCAAAGGAGACAAACTGATGATAAATTGATCGTCAGGTCTATAAATCTAAACCATCCAAGGTCGATCCTACTTCCTTATCAAGAAATCAGTTAGATACATACACAGTCTCACATTCAGATAAATCACATAGCCAAGTCTTCGAGGTTCAAGAATGCTTCATCGTCCCCTTATACTCTTGAACTCCTTCACCTCAATTGTCCAGAAGCCAACAACAAGCTCAAACAAATTGATCATGTCCAAAATTGTATAAGCAAAAGAACGGCTGAAAAATGTCATTTCACAAGACTGACACAGTTTTCAAAATTATCGAATCCTTCCAACCCACTTTGTAGGTATCGATTAAAAATAAATTGGATAAAACTATAATCCTATATATAATCCTTATCTCTCCCCCTTTATTCTTATATATCATATATATATATATATACGTGTTTCGTCGTGATGCAGAGGTCTGATCGGTCTACAAATCAAGCAAACATTCCAGAGCTTATTTCTCTAGTATATATTTATTTGAAGCCTTTGAACAGCTTTGAACCAACAACAACATCCTTTGTCATGATCCTAATTGATACAACTATATATCCTATATAAATGACGAGATATGGATGAAGCTTTATGAAAGAGAACCTTCAATGTATATGTGGTCGAGTCTTAGCTTAACTCAAACCATAAATAACTATTTATACCTACCAAACCTTCACAATGAGAAAAAAATCAGACGACTTCCAAAGAGTCGCCATAGCTCATGATCGCAAAGGGATGGATACAACTTTGCAGCGATTTCTCTGGTGAGTTATTGAGCAGGGTTTTGCTTCCTGGAAGTTGAACTGTGTGGAAGTAAAAAAAAGTAAAAGTTGATACATATCACAGATCTAATTTGTACCCTCAATAAACCTCAACCTTCCAAAACTTCATTGAACAATTCATAAGGAAGAAGCCTAGATATATGTAGAGAAAAAAGATGTAGATCCATAGACCAGGTGTTTGTTACTTATGAAACTTAATTCCTTACATACATATATCGCATATATGATTTAGATCATTCGAATTTCGAAGTACTTCATCATGAAGGCACAGAGAGAGGCTCAAGTTTAGTTCACTGAGATGACATTGAAGATACCAATTAAATCAGCTTGCATGTGTAAGTTTAACGAATAGTTCTTCCTCTGTAGCTTGAACTTGTGGGTGACCCACTCTTGAGCTGACTTGCCATAGTAATTGTAGTGACCCAATCGCAGGTGCTCTCTTGCTCGATGTTCCGGACTGCAATTGATGAAAAGTCGGAAGATCGAGGAGTGGTATGTACCACTAAAAGGTGAAATCCTAAACCGAATCCCCGAAAAAGTTGAACATCTGGATTGCGGTGTGGCTGAGATTCAGAACTCATAAAAGACAAATTAAAATGGCAACCCGGTAGATAGATAAGTTCCTTCATCTTGTAAGGCAATCCCATCACCACCCTCAAAACACCCAGCATAAAAGTTAATCCCGCTACTTCAATTATCGCTCGCAAGAATCATATGTAGCATGCGTCCGCGGCGCAATTCATTTCTGGCCCCGCACGCACAGCTGAGGATGTGTCATGCCTGTACACAGTCACAGGCTGAGCCTGACACAGGTCCTGTGCAAAAGCCACTCAATTAAAAGAAAGCCAAAATATGTGCCGCTATTGAGAAACCCCGGAATTGATATTTGAGGCTATGGTCTTACACAGGGATTTGGAAATATGATTGAAGAATATTGTGAGAAAATGATAGAAGAGATGTGGTATAAAAAATGATCATAGCTTTGAAAGTCTTATTTATACTTGGGATTTACTTTCTCATATGATAAATTTACTGGCAGATATTTGTTTTAATGTTGCAGATGACATTTGACCATGAACATCCCAATTTGAGAAGATTTTCTCATTAGTACTTGAGGGAATTAAAAGCCTTTTGTCTTG